GGTTAGTAATTTTTCTCCGTCGTTCTCCGCCTATTCTCTTCGACACCGATCTAGTGTGAAAACTCTACCCTGCTGATCAGTGGCTAATTTCTCTTGCAGGACTTGAACAGCGAATTTTCGTATGCAGCTTGCTATGACCTAGTTGTAGAACCCAACAATGTCAACGTTAGATATGAGTCTCAAAGGTAGGCACATAAGCGCTTATGGATCCTTTCGTTGAGTATTCTCCGGAACATAACCTACTCTGTTCTTTTGAAGGACTTTCGCTGGTAAGAACAGCAGGCTGCCGCTCAGAAGTAAGGTGCGATTGGCGCTCGCAGCTGGACGTGGAAAAAATAAAGTGAGTGAACTTATCGACCAGTTACAAACTTAGGTTTGCACATAGGTGAAGGGAAACACTACGCACCATCCTTTCGAGCGCATCCTCAAGAGCTTTTATATTCAAGATGTAGCATTCTAAGCCGTCATCCTAGACCTAGGTTTGTCCTATCGACGTGTAGGTAAATGTAAAGGTAATGACAGTTATAGGAGATGTGGTTTAACCGGACGGTTGTACGAAGCTACGCTGCAAAACAGACATAGAGGAAGGAAATATTTTGGATTTTAAATTTGGACTCATGCACTTGTTTAGATAATGTCTCTCGCCCCACAAACGATATATGGATGCAACAGTTGGTCGACGGTGAGAAGCTAAAAGTTTTGTGCCTCTACTGGGAGTAATATGCTGGTGAAACGTCTCCATCCTTTGAAAGAAGGAATCTGAATAAAGTTCCCTGAAGCAAAAATCTCGTGTTGCTGTTGACATTTATCTGACGGGAGCATTTTTCTCCTTACTGAATTGCGACCACAGGTTTACGTATCAAGCCATTAGAACCATCATCTAATTGAACAATGCCGATGTGATCGAATATCTATCGACCTGTGATGGTTTTTCCTCCTTGAAAATCGGAGAAACCTCTGAAGTCCTTTCTCCAGGCGCTAAATGCACTTGATCAATAAGCGAGAGAGCACCTGCGTAACCCTTACGTCGACATCATACCCGTCTTACATCTGGTACTCCTGGAATATCACCGTTCTCTTCCTATTTTCCCTAATTAATGATCTAATGACTGACCTCAACACACTTCCTGTAGTTAGAAAATTTACCATTCGCTGGAAACATGGACAGTCCCGCGGTCGAACCGTCTCGATGGTAGTAATGTTAGCGAAGATGAAGTGACACGTTTTCACATCGCAGTGCTTGAGCAGCAGTGCTCTTCACATAATCTTTCGCAATCAACTCATTATAGTCTGATACCGGCAAAAATTATTAAGCGTTCACATTTTGTCGAAATATGAATTTTTGGCGAGTGAGTCGGCTCTAATCCGATCGTCATGGGAGAAGGAATGGAACGTATTTGCTCACTGAGCCTCTGCATCAAATACTATCCATCGAATACTAGTATCGAAAATTTGAGCTATGGTGGTTGCACTTCAGCAATAAGGATGCAAAAGCGAAGGCTAACTCTTGCCATCATTCGCTATGTCTGGACGTACCGCTAGCACTAATGTCTTCGCTTAAGCAAATTCATTGCTCGCTGTATCTGAATCCTATTATTATTACGCCGCTTCACTTTGTTAAGCCTTTTCCTGACGATCTCAAGTCCTGCAAACAATCTGTCAGTGGTCACGCTGTTGCTGTGGCCCACGCAACGGTTTTGGTGACACTCGCCATTCGAAACCTTTTAACTGTTCTTATCAGATATTGTCGATTTCTGTCACCCTATAATAATGATCACGTCGCACCCTAACATGCATCAAAATGGACTCTGTCCGCCTAAATCAAAGGAATTTAGGATTTTACACACACACGTACACACGCACGCAACAAGAGACAAAGTTCACCTGTATCACCTGTGCTCCCGTTGATCATCGAGTTCCTCGAGCGGGCGCCAGTAACGTCTCCATTCGTCCCTGCAACGTGCAAGAGTTGCCCAATGAACTCTCTCAGCTCGAGGGACACGATGAACTTCATACCATTCGTTCAGAGCTTTCACGAAGAAGTCTGACCATCGCGTAGGCGGTCGTCCAGGCGTTCGCTTGACATCCCGTGGAATCCAGTCGGTGATCGCTCTGGTCCAGCGGTCGTCCTCGAAACGCATGACGTGCCCGGCCCACCTGATCTTCGAAACCTTGGCAAATGCGGCGGCGTCTCTGATCGTCGGCGGAGTGCGGAGCTCCCTCTCTCACTTGCGTGTAGCCTCCGAGCATCGCCCTTTCGATGGCGCGTTGAATAACGCCAACCGCATGCTCATCCTGCTTTCGTAGAGTCCAAGTCTGAGGCGTAGTCAAGGCAGGAAGGACCGCGGAATCGAAGAGGTGGGCACGGAGCTTGGTGTTCTTCGTCTTCTTCACGAAACAGGTGCACATAGCTGGAAAGTTCAGAGATGGTTGTTCCGTTGCGCGTGAGGAGGGATCAGAAACCAGTTCGTTCATCACTTCCTCACAAACACTTAGTCCTGTTTATTATGACTGGTGCGAAAAGTTTGTAGACTACAGACAGCAGGCAGATTGGGCGATAATGTACAGGTCTCCCTTCTTGTACAGCAACACAGTCTTGCTGGTTTTCCACGAGGTGGGTACCTTGCATTCCGACAGGTAGCGCGTGAAGAGTCGAGCCAGAGTTTTGACAAGAACTGGCGGAAGATTCTTCAGATGTTCGGGTCTGATCCTGTCGGGACCGGGTGCCGTACGATTCTTCACCGACGAGATGGCGTGTCGGACTTCGGAAGGGAGAACTGCAGGAACGACATATCCATCCTGCTCCAAGCGGTATGGTGGCAGGTGGACGTGGCTGTCAAAGAGATCCGAGTAGAAGTCGTGGATGACCTTCTCCATTGCCCTTCTGGATGCGGTGATTGTTCCGTCCGGACGTCGGAGGGCGGTCATCTTGGTCTTGCAGTTGGCGAAGTCGCAGGCGGGTGCCAATGCTCTTTCACCAGTACTGCTGCTCTTCTCTCCTTGAGGTCTTCCTTTATCGCTCCTCTGCATAGCTTCGCAAGCTCAGACGTCAGCTGGTAATTGCCTGCGGCTCGTGCGGCTCCACGTTGGCGAATCGCTTGAGAAATTCCGATGATAAGCACTGCAGTCTTTTGGTAATCTTGGAACTCTCTGACTTCTTGGCGCAGTCGTGAAGATGTGCGACAAGCCGTTCGTATTCCTCGTCGATGTTGTCGATGACGGAATCCTCCCAGAGCCCAGCGAGAGAAGTGAAGTGATCCCAGTTGATGACGGTCTTGGGGCTTCGCTTCTTGAACTTTGCGGCTCTCTCCTCGCATCGAAAAGCGGAATCTTGCGCGAAGGAGACGGTGGTCGGATCCTGTGTAACTTAGGAACAACAGCGACATCGGTCAGGCAAAACCTGGGAGACGGCCAGGAGTCACCGCCGCGCTCGAAACTAGGTCACCGCGCGCGGCGACCTGTTCGCGTGGCGCGGCGGTGAGTCCTGACCTGGCATTTTGCCAACTTCCGATCAATATGACCCTATCGCCATTTGCTTGGAGCGTTCTTTCTTTTCCTCATCTTCCATCTGCCAAGAACATGTCCAAACAGGTAGACATGTTCAAACATGCAAACATGTTAAAGCATGTAATCGCCGCGCGCGGTGACCCACTTCCCAGCGCGGCGACCTAGTTTCCGGCGACACACCCAAAACCCTCGATTGGAGATTATGATCTCATTATGGAATTGTCCACCAGGAGACTCCCATGTCCAGCGTAGAGAGTAGGGCTTCTGGAACTGCGAGTTACCATGGATGGTATGGGTCGACATGATAAACTCAGACAGCCTTTCACCCTGCTCATTTCGTTGTATTGAAATCCGATGTGAAGTTCTTCAGCCGTTCTTCTTGATCTTAGCGTTGAAATCACCGACGATGACCTTGAAGAAGGTATGATCTTCCTTGTAGAACTTCTCCAATTCCATATAGAACGCTTCGAGCTCATCCTCGTCGTAGCTTGATGTTGGTGCGTAGGCGACGAAGATTGTCAAAGCTGGAGTTGAACCACATCTTCTCAATCGCAAACGTCCGATTCGGGTCGTCAGATTTTCGTACATTTATGGCCAAGTGCGCGTTGGCGAGAACGCCCACGCCGCCAATGCCTCTGCTGTCGCATGTTCCGAAAAACAGTTCTTCTTTAGTTTTGTATAACGGCGTGTCTCAGGCGACCTCCTCGTCTCGTTCAGTCCGATGACGTCGTTCTCAATCTCACTGGCTTGCTACATCAGTTCCTCGATGAGGGTTTCCGATACGTTAAAAATACAGATCGTCATCTTAGTCCTCGGGCGACTTAAATCTCCGGTCCTGTGATTATTGCAGCCTCGCCGAGCGGTCCCAGCCGACACCGCCTGTCGGTGGTTGTCTCGGATTTAGAAAAAAGAGAGCAATATTTATTACTGTCTTCGGCGTGAAGACTTTTGGCACCGCTCAGCTCGGCTCTGACGTGGCACCCTACGCATTAGTATGGTTTGGAACAGACCGAACCGTTCTCCCCTCCCCATCGCCACGTTGAGGCTGCGGATAGGGTTTTGTGGGAAAAGACAAAAAGACAAACTCAGCGGTTTACATATGTAATACACTGGTGTGCAAAACTCAGGGAAAAGATGGTTGAAGTAACATAAACCACTAATGACTGGGTGGAAGTAAATGAAAGTGTGGGAGCATGTTGCCACTCGCCTAAGGGATATGCACAG